AGCTTACTATAAGCCCTATTTAATCTTTTATATTAAACATGAAAACTTGTCGATCAACATAAAAAGTTTCGCAGATCAAAACATATCTCATCAATGTTTTAATTTATTTAATCAAGTTTTACTATCAAATAATAATGTTGTTCCTCGGGATAGGTGCATCATTTGTGCTCCTCGCAGACCACTTCCCTCCTCAGCCGCCACCATCATTTTATATATATATATATATATATTAAATTAAATATATATTTCCAAACAGTTTATCGGCCGACAAGTACTAACAGTTTACCTATCGGCAGGCAAGGTCAGCAGACCATCTTTGTTGGCAACTTCGATAGCTGGTACTGATAGCAAACATATCAACATACGAGGTCGACATAACTCATCAACTGGTTACTTCAACACCCGATATTGATAGCCGATGCATTGACAAGCGAAGCCTCGACAATTGGCACTTGATGATATCTGTATCTACGAGAAGATTGGTCTCGGGGTCCAAGAGGCCTGTTATCATATGCATTGACTCATGAAAATATGTATCGGTATACAATATCATTATTATTAACTTTTAAAAAGTGAAATACAATTTCTCGTGCAAAGGTTCATGACGCCATAATTTTATAAATATAAATATAAAATTTTAGTTGTTAGATATGTAAATGCATAGGAATTTTGTGATATGTATGTAAATTTCACAATTACATATTGCTTAAAATAATTTTATTGTGAAATTTAAACAATAATGTTTAAAAATTTCTTAATTTGCATAATGTTGGATTTAATTTTGGTATCCTATAACTTCTGTTTATTATTTTCAATGTTGTATAACGTAGAGGGACACTTCTGAAAATCGACCATGTCAATCATAGGTAATGTCGACTCCAAATGGATCAGCAATATTGGGAAGTAGGATGAACAATTTCAATTTGCGAATCTTCAATTAATTATAAATTGTCATAATAAAACACTGAAAAAGTTAAATCACGTTTCCTAATTTTTTCCGTCAGAATGAACTTAAAAAAAATGTCTCTCTCTCTCTCTCTCTCTCTAGATCAATGTGTGGGCATTCTACTATATTTAAGAATTGATAATAAATACTTTAATTTATAATTTAATTTGAGGTTAAAATAAAATAACAAAAGTGTTATTTGTGAAAATTATAACAAAAATATATATAGATGCAATAAATAATTATGAAAATATTTTTATACATTATATTATAAAATAACATAATACCATATCATTAATTATTTTCTTAAAATAATATTGAAGTTCATATATTATATATTTTCATGTTATATGAAGCAATATTCCAAAAACAAGTGTGAATAAATTTAGTTCGTAAGAAATGTGAACATAATTATTAAAATAAAAATATTGAATCATATTTATAATAAATTTATATATAGACATTAAATTTTTTCGGGTATTTATATACATACTATGCAAAGTGAAATCAGATTATGCCAAGGGTGGACATTTGCCGACCCTACACTTTCAGATTTCTTCATATAAGTAATAAAATTCAATAACTTTAGTCTAATTTAATGTTGGTAATTTAATAATTTTTCCCTCTCTTGATATATTTTTGCCCAATATATAGAAATGATTAAACATTTGGTGATTTTGCCCATCCTAACCACACAATTTATATATATTTATGTTGAATCCAGATTTGTCATATTGACCATGCCTAAAACCTAGAGTGTAGGGACTGGGGGATAAGCGAAAGAGCGAGAGAAAGAGAAGAGTGACACGATGACTACCCCAACATGGCAAAGTAGGGGTGTTCCCTGGGCTCTGAGACCTATCATAGTAATTGAAATTAATCATTACAAGAAAAGTGAAGAGTAATGTCTAAGTAGCTAGAAAGCTTAAATGGCTTCCTTCCCCATACATGAAAAAGAGCCTCGTATTTATAAATCGTATGAGGATCTAGTAAATTATATCATTGCCCTAAAAGTTACCAGCCATTGTGCTCCTAAGAGTTATAAGTCATTATGCTCTTGAGAGTAACAAGTCATTATGCTTTTAGGAGTTACTGATTTTTATTGTCTTAATTAGCACATTTTCGCTGTTGGGTTCATTGGATAATGTGGACAACTCGTAGGATGGGGTGGCCAGCCGAATGAGACGACCAACCGATCTCTACTACCGTCAATATTTTTAGAACATACATAAATGCCACTAAGTCTTTCACTTCTTGGAAGTGAAGTTGCGTTAAGAATTAATGACTTAAAATGTTAAAAATGCAAATGTAATATTTATACTACCTTGATTTTGACGTCTCTCACCATCTTGTATTCTCTGGTCATGAAGTGCTCTTTTGAGGCTTTTTCAGGTTGGTTTTTTATTTGCTTGTCAGCCGACTATTTGACCTTCGACTAGTTGAGGTATCCTTTGGTCGATCTTACTGACTTCATCTTTCACTTAGTCAATATTGTTATTTTTTTTTCATTTTATTTTTAAAAAATGCGTAAAATATTTTGTAACATTAGCACATATCAAAGTATAGTGAGAGTTTCCATTGTTTTTAACCTTGATTTTAGAATTTTATCTATATCGGACCTTTTGTTATAATAGTTGCTCAGTGATGAATGATGGCATTGGTTGATTTGCTCACCCCGAAGGAGAGTCTTTCAATTTCTTCCGCCAAAGGGGAGTCTTTGTTTTGCTCAGCTCAGAGGGAAGTCTTAAATCTGCTCACTTTGAAGGGAGTCTTTCATGTGCTTGGCTTCGAGGGCAATCTTTGATTTGCTCACCTCAGAAAGGAGTCATCAATTTGTTCGCTTTAAAGTGAAGTCTTTTGTTTGCTTGCCTTGGAGAGGAGTCTTTGATTTGCCCGCAAGAGGGGGAGTTCTTGATTTGCAGCCTGGAGGGGAGTTCTTGACTTGCTTTCTCCAGAGGGAAGTCGTTGATTTGCTTACCCCTGAGGGAGTCGTTGATTTGCCTGTTCTATTCAAATTTCTCGAGTGATGGCTTAGATGCAGGCACTTGTGAATTTAAGTTTCTCGAGTCTCTTTCAGACCTAGGAAAACATAATTAAAGGCTTATATGTAGATGTTTTAGAAAAAAAAGATGAAATAACATTTTTGACAATATCGATCGATCAAAATTTTTGATCACTTGGATATTTTGATTGCTCTAGTATTTCAACCATCATGATTTATGATGACCGATCACAAGTATATAGCTAGCCAGAGGCAGGTGATAGTTCAGAAACAGATGGTCAGCTGGAGCAACAGTCGGTCTGAGGGTGGCTTGCTATAAGCACAAACAAATTGAGTGGTATTTATGTTAATGCAAATAATATATAAAACTATATTGATATATATATAAATTTTATCTGATTTTAAGATGGATGGTTGAAGACATACAACCTTCCAGGCAGTCAGATTTTTAAGGAGTCTCCCTTATAAATCCCATCTAAAGATCATATTCCAACTTAGATAGTGTTCTTTAGTTGCTAGCATTGTAATCTAATTCCATCTCATCTTCCAAGAGTTGCTCAGGGTGGGCTAGATATGATTCGAGGTTAAGGTCATGCTTTTCTTCATCGTGAATGATGGCTTCTCTTTCAATCAGAAACTCACCAGCCTTGGCTGTGCTAGTAACTTGACATTGGCCTCTAAAACTATTGTTTGGAGACAAGAGGATTCTAATACATCTAAAAGCTTTGTAATTGATTTGTTAGATTTTTTTCTAGTTTGAGATTATCGTAAGAAAGTATTGTGTATATCTCAAAAACTCTTGAAATTGTTATCGCATTTCCATCAATCTTGGCTGGTTTTGAACTTTTGGTTACTATTGTTAAATTGAAAATTGAATCCACTGCTCAATCAAACCTGACAACAAACCCCTAGGATCTCATTTCATTCTTATGCATAGCATAAAATCTGGTTATCAGTTGGAACTGATCACTTGAAGAATCCTATCGGAAGTGTCCAATTGATTTACTCAAGTGAATTTTGCAGGAAGATCTTAGCCTCTTCGGATGCCCCATGAATTTGGTGCTGATGTTGTAAAAAATCTCTTTATTGAAGCATGAGAAAGAAGTTTTTGAATATATTTCCGAAAGAAAGTACACACTCAAAGTAACAATGATGATCGAAACAACTAGAATCTTTTTTCTACTTGGGATGTAGATATGAGCTTTATTGCCTAAGAAACCGGTTCGATCTGTGACACGATCCAGGTGCTGCAAGACACGGACTAATCATGTAAGTGCACATGGCATATCAGTAGTACCAGTATTTAAGTTCAGAATATCGATCTCACGGGGAATGAGATGAATCCTAATGGAAAAAGTTCTAGTTTACAAATTTTTTCCCTAGCCTAAAATTTTGATTTGGTTTAGATTCTACGAAAGTATCCTAAGATAGGAAGCTTGTCATACTATAAATTTTAGAACAAGCGAAGAGACCGATTATCATCAAGTAATTGTAGAACACTTATCGGAAAATGTTAACTATTATAAAAAAGAGGCCAATTAGATGAATTAAATGTTGATTTGAATATGATGAAAATGTTAGGTGAATTAAAAGACAAAAATGTCGAAGTGCGAGTGCCGGCAGGGGTAGGGGAGGAGGGTGGGGTGTGGGGGGCCAGGACTTTGACACCCACTAGGATCAAATTAGAATAAATGTTATTATTTTAATTGTTTTGATGTGTTTAGATATGTATGTGTATGTGCCGCAAGTCGTGTCCTGTTGGTTGGTGGGGTTCACTATAAGTCCCCTTAGGTCACGTGTTTGATCCTCAACGGCGCTAGGTTCTCGAATATTTAGGCACATGACGATGACTCTCATCATGGGGTCTAGCGCATGAAAAATTGATATTTGGGATATATATATATATATATAATTCTCTTAAAAGAATTAAGAGTTACATCTATTAATAAAATTATTTAAAAAAATATAAATGCAAAAAAGTCCTAAATAAAATTTACACTTTGCAAGGCCTCACGGGCCGAACAATTCCTATTAATCTTCTAAAATATATTTCCCGGGGCTTCGATATCTTGTCTTTCCGCCCCCTTAGTCGCCTCGCCTCTTCCATTCCCTTGAGGAGCCTCCACTTTCCGTCATGGAGGTCTCACTAAAATCTCAATCGTCCCAGGGCCATCGTCTTTCTCTTGAGCAGAGGAACCCATAATCCTCTAATGTAATTCCAATGGCATTCCGTCGATTCCTTTTGCTAATGTTTTTTTTTATATCGGCGGCCGGCGAACCGACGAGCGACCGCGCCGCCCTCCTTGCTTTCATCTCTCAAACTCCTCACTCTCAGCGTATCCAATGGAATGCCTCGGCATCAGCCTGCGATTGGGTAGGTGTGACTTGCAACGCGAACCGCACTGCTGTTGTGGCCCTCCGCCTCCCTGCCACCGGCCTCATTGGCCCCATTCCACCGGGAACCCTTGGCCGTCTCTCTTCTCTCCGAATCCTTTCGCTCAGATCCAACCGCCTCTCTGGCTCTCCACCTCAGGATCTGTCAAATCTCACCGCACTCCACAGCCTCTTCCTCCAGAATAATCTCTTATCCGGCCCGTTCCCACCGGCAATCCCCAAACTCACACGGCTAACCCGCTTAGATCTCTCCGTAAACAACTTCTCCAACGAGATCCCCTTCGCTGTCAACAACCTCACCCGCCTCACCGGCCTTTTCCTCCAACAAAATAGATTTTCCAATAGCCTACCTAGCATCAGTATCCCAGGACTCACAAGCTTCAATGTCTCGTACAACTCCCTAAATGGATCCATCCCCGACGCGTTAGCTAAATTCCCGGCATCAGACTTCATTGGAAACCTACAGCTCTGCGGTGGGCCTCTCGCCCCCTGCGCCCCCTTTTTCCCCTCACCATCTCCGTCTCCGACTTCGCCACCGGAAAGCCCCAAGGGGAAAAGCTCCAAGAAACTCTCAACGAAGGCGATCATCGGCATCGCAGTCGCCGGCGGCGTGGTGCTACTCCTCCTGCTGCTCCTGCTGCTCTTCTGCTGCTTGTCGGCAAGGCGGAAGAAGAGCCGAAGGGCAAAAGCAAGGACGAAGCCAGTGGCTACGGCAGCAGGGCCTATTGGGAGATCTGGGGATGTCGGAACGACTTCATCATCGAAGGAAGACATTGCGGCCGCAACTGCCAGCGAAGGTGATAGGAATCGGTTAGTGTTTGTGGGTAGTGGTGGAGGTTATAGCTTTGATCTGGAGGATCTTCTCAGAGCGTCAGCTGAAGTGTTGGGAAAGGGAAGCGTCGGTACTTCGTATAAAGCAGTATTGGAAGAAGGCACCACCGTTGTTGTCAAGCGGCTAAAGGACGTCACCGTCTCCAAGCGCGATTTCGAGTTCAACATAGAGGCTCTTGGCAAAGTCGAGCACCGAAATCTGCTAGCAATTAGGGCGTACTACTATTCGAAGGACGAGAAACTCCTCGTCTACGACTACCTCGCCGCCGGCAGTCTGTCTTCCAACCTTCACGGTAAGATTACCACCCTTTTTTTTTAAGCGGAATTTACATCCGTAGCACCCAATTCTTATGCATTTACGCATCTCACATCAAAACTGATTTTTACGAACTTTTAAACTTTTTCAGAACATATAGATAAAATAATATATGGGTTTTGCGCTTTTTTAAAATGTAGAGGGGCGGTTTGCAAATTGAGCGCCCCTTTTTTTTTAAAGAAATCGTCTTTCGCTTTACGAGGGCCACACTGATGCAATCCACATTCCCTTTGCGCGACACATGAGTCGCACCCGCTGCCCGACAGCCTTCGTGGGCACGTTAAAATATGAGCATGTTTTCTTGCATTGTTCTCCCGGTTTGTTTCGAAATTTTGCCCATCTTAACCCTACAATTTAAAGTCTCGGCCTTTTGCTATTTTTTGAAACTGCCCTTTTCAAGCGAAACAATTATGTATAAAGAAAATTCATATAGTAATGCTCGATTTATCTTATATTCATACTTTATATCTGATTTGCTCTTCAGTTTATCCACTATAATTTAAATGGTTGAGACTTGAATCTATAGCGGCTTGGGATGATGAACAGGTAATTTTAAAACCAATTTAAAAACTATCATATCACTCTAAATATTGCTATTTTCAAAAATATGATCATTTTTCATCCTATCTTTCTCAAATTCTCTCTCAAATATAAAATACACCTTAAATTCCCAACTCGTGTTTTTCATTTTTATGAAATCCCAATGATTTTATTGTAACATGCAATGGCATGCTCCGATTTGATAGTTAAAAAACTATTTAGGTGCTAATTTTGTAATTAGCAATGTTATGAATGTAAGCATCCCAAATATAAAATATGTGGAGTGTCAACTTACATGGAAATGTTTTTTAAGCGAATTATCTATACTTAATAACGGGGTTAGAGCCCGGCTCTGAAATTTGAGATTTTTGTACATATGTAGTAAAATTTAATATCTTTTTGGAGTTGTGACTCGTACTATAGGGTTATTGGTATAAAATAAATGAGTAATACAACATTCTTTTCCGATATGATATCAAATTATCAAAACATAATACGAAATTGCTTGAATACTACCGGGGGCTGTCGATCCATTCCTCCTCTCCCGTCATTTTTTGTTTTTATGTTCGAAAATTCCTCGGTACAATTTATCACGGCTTGTTTGTTTTGTATAAACGCGGCTTTCCTGTAGCATATTCATCACGGATTTTGCCTTCGGAAAGCGAAAGAAAACGTCCTTTTCCGCTTGTTCCTTAATCGTGTAATAAGTACATTGTCTTATTGATGCGTCATACAATGCGCTACAGGGAGCCGGGGGTCAGGTCGGACGCCTCTGGACTGGGAAAATCGAATGCGTGTTGCCCTCGCTGCTGGCCGCGGCCTCGCTCACCTTCACAGTGCCCCCCGGGTTGTTCACGGCAACATCAAGGCTTCTAACGTCCTCCTCCGGTCCGACCCGGACGCCGCTGTTCTGTCAGATTATGGCCTCGCCCCGATTTTTGGGCCCAGCGGATCTGCCATGAGCCGCGCGGCGGCCGGTTACCGCGCGCCAGAGGTGGTGGAAACACGGAAGCCGACGTTTAAATCGGACGTTTACAGCTTCGGGGTGCTGCTTCTGGAGCTTCTGACGGGGAAGGCGCCAAACCAGCCGTCGATCGCCGGGGAAGAGGGTATTGATTTGCCGCGATGGGTGCAAGCGGTTGTGAGGGAGGAGTGGACGGCGGAGGTGTTCGATGTGGAGCTCATGAGGTACGCTAATACTGAGGAGGAGATGGTGCAGCTGCTCCAGATCGCAATGGCATGCGTGGCGTTGGTGCCGGACTCTCGGCCCGAGATTGCGAATGTTGTCAGAATGATGGAAGACATTGCCGGAGGACGCGGAGGCACGTCGGAGGGGGACGATGCGTTGCGAGCCTCGTCCGATGATCCGTCCAAGCCGGCATCGGGCGGCCGCACGCCGCTTAGGGCAGCAACGCCATGAGATAGACACGCAGGCACTCTTTCTATGTTCCTGTTTTTTCTTTGTCCATTCAATGAAGATAGGAAATTGTGTTTATTTTTAGTATTATATATTTATTTATTTTGGTTTTGACAAAATTGAAAATTGAGTTCTTAAATACGAATTTCATCTTGGATTTGAATAACTTTCCAGGTGTTAGACTTTTTATTAATTAAGTGTTTACCCAATTAAGGTCGCATCTCCATTAATTGCATTTATTACAATGCAATATTTATATTTTTTTTGGGATAAATATATAGACCATCGTAAATTTTAATTTTTACAAATTAATTATTAGTGTGATTTTTTTGAACCACAGAACTAAAGAATTTAAATGTGGCTCGATGTATTTATGTGCCTCGAGGTCAAGCTATAGAGAATTTGATAAAAATAAAAATGTGGGCTGGGGTTTTACCATTAAAATGATATTGGAGTGAGATTTTGAAAAATGGATCAAAAGAGTGGTTCATTTGTATATAGGAAGTTTTTTTATTAGATATTTTGTTCGCTTTAATTAAAAATGCACAAAGATACACATACCATATATAAGACTTTGTATTTTGAATTTTATAAGCTCCCAACCAACAGAATTATATTAGGGGTATTTACATGTGCATAACATATAATTCTTATATATTTACAAACTTTAACATCTAAATTTTATTTATTTTTATGCATATCATTTAAATATTTAATATTGTATTATAAACATTATTTTTACTAACTTTATAAAAATATGAATACATATTTCGAGCATAAACGTGTAGCACCAGTGTTATAAATATGAATATTAAATTTTAGGTGTTTGTCATGTAAATGCATAAGAATTGTGTGGTATCTGAGTAAGTTTCTTTTTTATTTTATTTTTTGTGGGAATATGAACACTCGATCCGTTTGGAACTGTGGACTTTTTTTTTTTCTCAGGCGTTATATTATATATTTTTATATTTATATCTCCACACATGCTAATGTGAGTTTTCTAGAGCGCTTATTGTTATGAAAAAACGCCGGCAATAAAGCGAAAAACAGATCTAGAAAAATTACACCAGAAAAGGCGACACAAGATTTACGTGGTTCGGCAAACTGCCTACGTCCACGGAACTGCAGAGGATTTTATTAGCTTTGAGGATTACACCGTCGACCACGTCGACTTATAAGAACGAATTCTCTCTCTCTCTCTCTCTCCTCACCTTCTCTCTCTCTCTAAACTGAGAGTCACACCAAGAAGAAGAAAGACAACTTTTAAAGAAAAACTTCTTTGTGATTCCTTTATTTCAGTCTCACGACAAAATATAATCTCAGGAGAGAAATCTGTTTGGAGAGTCATACCCATCCCTGTAATCGTGAGTCACTTTTAAAGCTTCACAGTATCCAGCTTGGTTTGGTAATCCTTAATTTTGTGATTTCATGGAATCATGCTTTAATGACCCATATAAAGCCCATTAAGGCAAGCTATCAAATTCATTGTTTTTTTCCTTATTGCAACAGGAGGGGCCAGAGATTAATCTGGTAAAGCTTAATAATTAATTAAGCTTTCCTTAATTCTTCCTGTCAATAGAAGGCAACTGCTTTAAATAAAAATTGAGAATCATCAAACTATGATAGGGAATAAAATACATAAGGAAATGAATTAAGAGCAGATAAATTAGAATCAATTTATCAAAGAATCTGCCGTAATAGGAAGTGGATCGGGTCTCCACCTTCCTCAACAATTCTCCCACTTGGAGATTGGGACACTAACTACACCATCCATTGGCTGTTCTGCCCTTGTCCTCAAACGTGATATCCTCCACCTCTGTAACTCAAAACCCCTGTCTTCAAGCTAGAAGACCAACTGAAGTCGAACACAACTTCAATTTCTCAAGTGTGACGTCCTTGGTCAACATATCAGCAGGATTCTTGCTTCCACAAATTTTCTCAAGTAGTAATTGTCTGTCATCTAACAATGATCGAATAAAGTGATATCTGATCTGAATGTTCTTGATCCTGGATTGAAATGCTAGATTTCTAGCTAGGAATATGGCGCTCTGGCTATCACTGTAGAGCGTGCCTTTATGAACCTCCTTACCCAATTCCGCCAAGAAACTCTGCAGCCATATCATCTCCTTAGCAGCCTCTGACAATGCAACATACTCAGCCTCTGTAGTGGACAAAGAAAATGTCTTCTGTAGATTAGAGCCCCATGAGACTGCAGTACCGCCAAAAGTATAAACGTAACATGTAGTACTCTTCATACTGTCAATGTCTCCAGATAAATTTGCATCAACATAACCCTGTACCTCTAGGCTCTTTCCTGAGAAACACAAACAGGTTTCTGAAGAGCCTTTTAGATATCTTAAAATCCACTTCACAGCTTCCCAATGTTCCTTCCCTGGATTACTCATGTATCTGCTCACAACTCCCACTGCATGGGCGATATCCGGTTTGGTACAGACCATAACATACATAGTGAACCAATAGCTGAAGCGTAAGGAACCTTACTCATGTAATCTTGTTTCTCCTCTGACTTGGGTGATTGATTTTTGCTGAGTCTGAAGTGACTGCCTAAAGGTGTACCAACTGGCTTGGCCTTGTTCATATTGAATATGCTAAGCAGTTTTTTCACATATTCAGCTAGTGAAAGTCTCAAAGTGTCTTTGACTCGATCTCTAACAATCCTCATGCCAATGATTTGTTTTGCCGCTCCCAAATCCTTCATTGCAAAGTGCTCTGACATCTGCTTCTTCAGATTATTGATCTCATAAATGCTGACCCCTGCAATAAACATATCATCCACATACAACAACAGGATGATATAGGAATGGTCTCTGACATAGCAACAGTGATCTGTCTGACATCTGCTGTACCCTGCACTGTGCATGAAATTATCAAATTTCTTGTACCATTGTCTAGGAGCCTGCTTCAGACCATACAAGCTCTTCTTCAATCTACAAACAAAATCTTCTTTTCCTTGTGCTTCTTTTCCTTGTACCACGAACCCTTCAGGCTGGTGCATATAGATGTCTTCTTCAAGGTCTCCATGAAGAAAAGCTGTCTTCACATCTAATTGCTCCAGGAATAGATCTTCGGTAGCAACCATAGTTAGGACCATCCTGATGGTTGTGAGTTTTACCACAGGAGAAAAGATCTCAGAGTAATCAATGTCTTGCTTCCGTTGGTTGAATCCGTTGAAAGCCTTTTGCAACAAGTCTGGCCTTGTACCTTTTACTGCTGTCAGACTCAGTATTTACTGTGCAATGCCTTCTTCCCTGGGGGAAGTTCTGTTAGATCCCATGTCTCATTTCTCAGCAGGGAATCCATCTCCTCCTTCATGGTCAGCTCCCACTTGCTAGAATTTTCATCTGCTAAGGTTTCTTCTTAGCTTTGTGGTTCTCTATTATCTGTCAGCAATATGTAATTTAAAGTTGGTGAATAACGCTGTGGCGAATGCCTGCTTCTGATTGACCTCCGAACGGCGACTGGAGTAGTGAATGACTCTGGACCTGTCTGCGGGATAATAAGAATGGGTGCCCCAGACCCATTCTCCTCCTCAATCCCATCTCCATTTTCCTCTGTGTCCTCTGGTAGATCGTCGAACTCCACGAACTCTGACTCCTAAGAAGCTACTCCAGAATTTGTATTGGTCTTGTCCTTGTACATCATTTTCTCATTGAAAATCACATTTCTACTTCTGATAATCTTCCGAACCTGATCATCACAGAAACTGTTTCGTCTTCATAACCAATGAAATAACATTTCTTTGACTTAGCATCAAGCTTGCTACGTACATCAGGATTGATTAGCACCTAAGAAAGACAACTAAAGACAACCAAAAATCTTAAGATGAGAAAATTTGACATCTTTGCAGCTCCAGACCTCCTCAGGTAATTTACAGTCTAATGGGACAGATGACCCTCTGTTGATTATGTAAACTACAGTGTTGACCGCATCTGCCCAGAAGATTGGTGGCAGTCCTACGTGCAATCTCATGCTCCTAGCACGCTCATTGATGGTCTTGTTCATGCATTTTGCAACTCCATTTCGTTGTGGTGTCCCCGGAATGGTCTTCTCCATTTTGATACCTTGAGCTGCACAATACTCCTTGAATCCGCCATCAGTGTACTCACCACCATTGTCAGATCTTAAATATTTCAGTTTTAGATCTGTCTCCTGTCTCCGTTTCAACCATGGCCTTTCAAGTTTTGAACACAGAAAATACATCAGATTTATGCTTCAGAAAGTAAACTCATACATTTATGCTGTGAGTCATCTATGAATGTGACGTAATAGCGAAAGCCTCCAAGAGATGCGAAGGTCCCCACACATCTGTGTGTACAAGATCTAGCTTTCCTGCCTTTGGTGTCCTGCCACCTTTCAAGAAACTGACATTCCTCTGCTTCCCTATAATGCAACTCTCAAATATGCTGAGATCAGCTGACTTCAGTTCTAGTAGCTTACCTCTGGACTGAAGCTTTTTCATACCTCTCTGACTCATGTGTCCAAGTCTACAATGCCACATGTCTATTGTGTTCTCTATAACTGTGATATCAACACTGTTAATTAGACATGTGGTCATATATAGCGTACCAGTCTTCTTACCTCGAGCTAGTATCAGTGCTCCTTTGACAATGCTCCTTTGGTAACCTTCTAGGTGTTATCAGAGAACACTACTGAATGACCTCCCTCATCGAGTTGTCCAACAGATATGAGGTTCTTTTTCAGTTCAGGAATGTGTCTAACCTTTTGGAGGATCCATTTGTTTTTTGTTAGGAAGTGCGATTTCAATATCTCTCATCCCCGCCACGTTCAAAGCTGCTTCATCAGCCAGGTATACTTTCCCAATGTCGCCTGAAACATAGTTTTTCATTAACTCATGGTGGGAATATGTGTGAAAAAAAGCCCCCGAGTCCAGTATCCAGTCGTCAACAGAGCTATGAACTGCAAGCAATAACGCATCCTGCACTTCTTCAGTTACATCGTTAGCATTGACGTTCTCCTTCTTAGAATTTTTACAATTCTTCTTTATGTGGCCAGTTTTGTCACAATTCCAGCAGATTGCTTGCTGACCAGGCTTTGATTTGCTCTTACTT